TTTCCCTGTAAATTATTCTTTATTTCAATTTGTGTATCCTTTGTTTCTGACTGTATCTTTTTTATGCCATTGAGGTTCTCATTGAGTTCCTTGAGCATCCTTATAACCCGCGATTTGACCTCTGCATATGACAGATTGCTTATCTCCATTTTGTTTAGCTCTTTTTCTGGACTTTTGATCCATTCTTACATTTGGGCCATTTCTTTTTGTCTCCTCATTTTGGCGGCTTCTGTTTTTTCTGTTTATTATGTAGAGCTTCTGTGACTCCTTGTCTTGGTAGTGCGGCCTAATGTAGTAAGTGTCCTGTAGGGTCCAGTGGCATAGCCTCCCCCATCCCCTGAGCTGGGTGCATGAAGTGCATCCTCCATGTAGGCTGAGTACAGACCCCTATTATAGTTGAGTCTTGATGACTGTTGGCAGGCCAGTGGAGGGATATACTCAAATCATTCAGCTGTGATCATTCAAATCATGGTGACCGCTGACTACCAACCTCCATCCTGTGGGGAGTGTCAGCTGTGTAGGGGCAGTGCGGTCTGTAGTTGTCCACTGGGTACTCAGGCTCTGGGGTTTCCCAGGTGGTGCAGGCCAAGGTCAGCCACCACCTATGTTCTGCCCGAGGCTACCCAACATGAGCTGCAAAGCAATCTGCAAATGGCTGCTATTTGTGCTGGGCTTGAGGATCCCCAGGTGAAGCCAAGCTGTGAATCTTGGCTGGCTGCTCCTAGTGCTGGGCCTTGGGTCACTCAATAAGAGGTACAGGGACTGGGGGCTCACTGAGGCTGGCTGTTCCTTGTTTGAGAGTATTTAGGAAAATGTGAAGCATGAGTGAAGACAAGCCACTTAGGAGAAATAGTCACTGTTAGCAGCCTAAGTAGGCCCATAAGGTGGTTGAGGTAGAACCTCAGGGAATCACCAGGCAGGGCAAACAGTGTAATCCAGGTTGATAGAGTCTCAGATATGACACCTTCCTACTGGCTGTGTGGCTCTGTGGTGGAGGGTTCAAAAAAGGAACAATGGCCTCTGCCAGTCACGCTGTCTGGAAGAAAGCTGTCCCCCAGCTCTCGCCCTGATGCTAAATACTCATTTCTTCTCCATATGCCACTGGTGCCTTGCAAACTGCTACTTCAGTGCTGGAGCTCAGAGGGTATGAGTCTGAGTAAGTTCATGCGCAGGTCCTCTAACAGAAGATGCTTGGGAACCCAGCAGTTTCTTCTGCCGATGCAATCTCTGCTGGTTTTTACAGCCAGAGGTTATGGGGACTTATCTTCCTGTTACTGGAACCCTGGGCTCAGGGTCCTGGTGTGGGGCTAGGGCCCCTCACTCCTGTGCTATCCCTCTCAAATTTTCATCCACCACACATGGGTGTGGGACAGCCCATTCCACATCCCCATCTGTGCCCCTCCTACCAGTATGGATGGATGTGGTTTCTTTAATTCCATAGCTGTCAGACTTCCATTCCACTCAATTTCTGATGGTTCTGAGTGATGGTTGTTTTCTAGTCTAGTTGTAATTTGATGTGGTTGTGTGAGGAGGGGAGCTGTTTTACCTATGACTCCATCTTCACTGAAAGTCTCCCCAAGTTACATAATTCAAGCAAATTTTAAAACTTGGTACTAAGAAAACTGTAATGTTTGGGCACAATTTTAGATAATTAGATTTTTCTTTAAATGTCTTAAAATGTATTTATAAATTAAATATTTTTGGTATTCTTAATACTTCAATCAACTAACAGATCTTCCCAAGTTAAGTTAACCTCACAATTCTTATAAATTAAACTTATAAATGTAGTGACACATAAGTTTTCTTGACTATTTTAATATTGTGTATAAACTTAGTGAAGATTCAATTTAATATCACAAGCCTAAATCTGTACTAAATTGCATATTTATAAATGGGACTTCTAACCTGCACAGAGAAAATCATTACAAAAATTATAAATCCTTAAAATGCTAAACATGTTCCTTAGCACAAAATATCAGTGTTGTGGTTTTGATTCTCTTACACATTTTCATACACTTATTTTAAATCTCCATTTTAAAACAAGCGAAATGATTTGCTTATGGCAGGCAATGTTGGGGAACTAGTCCACTGGTTGAGATCTTCATGCTGATACTGAAGGGCACAGCATTCTCGGCGGTGGCCCTAATGGTGCATGCTGAATCTGTTCTTTACAGTCACTACACTGAACCCCCTCATGCGGGTCGTCTCCCAGCCTGCTGCAGGCACCTCCCTGAACTGGAGTCTCATTTAAAACCATCTGTCTTTCCTCCCTACTCATGAGAGTCTGCAACCCCCACCCAGGCTGGCATGTCACTGGATGTGATTTTGTTATTCTTTAGCTTTTATGATATTTAAATACATTTCCTTCTAAGAGCAAAGACTACTGGACTTGATGTAGCCCTGCATTTTTTCTTTCATGTACTTCCTATCTGGAGAGAGGGGAATGGAGAGAAGAAAGGGAAGGGGAGAAACATTTCATCAGTTAACTTCTGCATGCACCCCAACCATAGGGTGAAACCAAAACTCAGGCTTGTGCCCTGACTGGGAATCAAACCCAGAACTTTCAGTTTGCAGGATGATTCCCAACCAACTGAGCCACAGTGGCTTGGGCTGCTTTTTATGTTTGATGCAATTATAAATGGGATTATTTTCTTGCTTTCTGATAGTTTGTTATTGGTATATAAAAATGCAACTGATTTCTGGATATTTATTTTGTATCCTGCTATTTTAGTGAATTTGTCAGTTCTAGTAGTTTTTTGGTAGAATATTTAGGGTTCTCTGTATACAGTATCATGTCATCTGCAAATAATGAGAGTTTTACTTCTTTCTAATTTGAATGCCTTTTATTTCTTCTTCTTGTTCAGTAGCTGTGACTAGGACTTCCAGTACTGTGTTGAATAAGAGAGGTGAAAGCAGACATCCCTGTCTTGTTCTCAATCTTAAGGCAAACACTTGTAGTTTTTGCCCGTTGAGTTGGTTGTAGGTTTCTCGTATACGGCATTTATTATGGTGAGGTATGCTCCCTTTATTCCCACTTGGCTGAGTTTCTATCATAAGTGGGTGCTAGATTTTATCAAATACTTTTTCTGCATCTATTGATATGATCATGTGTTTTTATCCTTCATTTTGTTTATGTGGTGTATCACATTTATTGATTTGTGGATATTGTACCAACTTTGCATCCTTAGAACAAAGTCCACTTGATCATGGTGTGTAATCTTTTCAATGTTTTGCTGAATCTGGTTTTCTAATATATTATTGATGATTTTATCATCTATGTTCATCAAGGATATTGGCCTATAATTTTCTTTTCTTGTAGTCCTTTTATCTGGTTTTGGAATTAGAATAATGCTGGCTTCATAAAACAAGCTTGGCAGTCTTCCTCTTGAATTTTTTTGGAAGAGTTTGAGCAGGAGAGGAGTTTGGGTTAGCAGGCCTCCTATTGTAACTGAGTCTTGATTGCTATTGGCTCATTCATGTATGAGCTTGACCCTCAGGCTGGCAGACTGTGAGGATTGACCCTGACCTCAGTGTATGAGCTGCTGTGCAGGTTTGACTACATGAAGTGTAATTTGCCTCAGCAGGGTCTGGGGCCAGCCAAGATCTCTCTTTGAATCTGCATTTTGTGAAGCTAATGGATCCTTCTCCTATGTCTGAAGCTGGCCACTGCATACGTAGATTCTGGGACTCTGGTAAAGACTGACATCAAACGCTGCCTATGATTTGCCCTGGGCAACCTGTTTGGAGCTACAAAACGATCCAAAGTTTGTGGCTGCCTGTGCTTGGCCTTTGTGTGTGCAGGAAGGATCAAGCTGTGCACCTAGGCCAGCTGTTACAGGCACAGGGACCAAGGGCATGCCAGCAAAATTCCCAAGGCACCCCAAGATCCACCTCCACCTGCCAATGCCTCTTGGCTGCCTGATCGACTCAGTCACTGAAAGAGCCTCTGGCAGTATTTGAGTTTCATGAGGTTGGTTCTCAGTGATTTACCAGGTAGGAGTGAATGGTATTCACCAGACTGATACAGGTTCAAACTGAAGTGCCAGTGCTGGGTCTGAGGCCACTCAGGAAATGTCCCAGGGTACACCAAGTCTAGCTGCCACCCACCGGGTGCTTGCAGACCTTTGTGGTGGGGCAGGGTCTCAGGGAGTTGTCAGGGATATTTGGGCCTGATAAACCCAGCAGAGTTTATCAGGCCCAAATATACCAAGATCTGGCCATGTCTGAGTGTACTTTGATAGGTTGTTATGTTCTCATATCATTCAACACAGCCTTGTACCGTTCAGGCTGACTTGCTCTTTGTTCCCCAAACATGTTCATTTTAATTTTCACATCAATATTGGATAAACTATCCTCAATTCCCTCCTCCTTTCAGCTTAACTTCTGGCGGTTCTGGAAGGCTCAGTTCAAGATTTCTTTTCTACTGCTCTTTCGGTCTATAAAATCTGGTAGCACAGATCCCAGAGTAACAGTGGATCACATGCTGTTCACCCCTCTAATTAGCTACACATAAATTCTACCTTCTCACTATAATTCCCTAAAGACGACCATACTTCTTTTGTCTCTACTGTAGCACCCAAGGAATCCTGGAACTGTAGCACTGGAAAATGAGCTATAGGAGCAGAAAGAAGAGATAAAGTCAAAGAAAAAGATTGTAGGTGAGGCTGCTGAGACTAGAGAGTTAGTGACTTGTCCAGGGTCATACAGTCAGTTAGAGGTCAAGCCCATGCTGGGATGGAAGTCTACTAATAGCAGACATGAGGGCTCTTCCCACTTCAGAGGTTACACTGCTGCATGGCGGATATTTCAGTTCCTTCTTAATGCACCTGTCTTATTCTAGGTCTAGGGACCATCAGTCCCCCACCCCAGATCCCCACACAAGTGTCCCATGCAGGGGGGAGACTTTGACTTCTGTTTGAGTATCTCTGGTGATTTTATAATTCCTGTGTGAAACTGTCTTGGTCAGTTTGAGCTACTGTAGTAGAATATCACAGACTGGGTTGGTTAAACAACAAGCATTTATTTCTCACGGGTCTGGATTCTGGGAAGTCCAAGGTCAAGGCACCAGCAGATCTGGTGTCTGGTAAAGGCCTGCTTCCTGATTTGCAGGTGGTGGCTGTCTTATATCTTCACATGGTGGAGACAGATTCTCTCTCTACACTTTCTTCTTCATAAGGTCATCATTTCCATATGAGGGCTCCACACTGATCATCTAATTGCCTCTCAAAAGCCTTCAAACCTCATTACATTGGGGATTAGAGGTTCAACATAAGAAATCTAAGGGGACACAAACATTCAGTTCACAGCAGAAATACAAGAGAAGGATCACCAGGACAGAGATGACCGAGTCACATAATTCTTCCCAGCATTTACCTGCCCTACTCCCTAACCCCCAAGAAATGTGGCTAAATTTATTTCACATCTGATGTGCCTACATTATGGGATGAATGGCGGAGTACTGAAGACACCATGTAATTAAGCTTAACCACAGAAAAATACAGCAAAATGATGCTTCCCTCTAGTGGCAAAGCATGGAGACACAACTGATAAGCCAAAGCGCCAGGTTCCTGTTCTAAAAGAAGCTTTTACCTAAGGAATGAGTCAAACCACAAACAATGTTAGAGGTACAGTTTGGGTTGTTTTAAAAAGTCTTAGATACTAATTTATTAGTACTGTAATCCATAGTTATGACAATCTGTATTCATACAGATTGTCCCATCCCCCGCATCATATATTGAAGTCCTAACCTCCAATGTTCAAAATGTGATCTTATTTGAAAGTAGAGTTGATCAGCCCTGGACAGTGTGGCTCAGTTGATTGGAGTGTGGTCCTGTAGACCAATAGGTCGTGGGTTTCATTCATGATCAGGGCACATGCCTGGGTTGAGGTTCCATCCCTGGTCGGGGTGTGTGCAAGAGGCAACCAATCAGTGTTTCTCTCCCTCTCTCTACCTCCCTTCCCCTCTCTCTAAAGTTAATAAGCATGTCCTCAAGTGAGGATCAGAAAGTAAAAAAGGGTTGTTCAGTGTGGCGATTCCTGGGGTGGAGGAGGGTATGGTGGGATAACTGGTGATGGATGCAGACTTGACTTGGGGTGGTGAACACACTATACAGTGGACAGATAATGTGTTGTGGAACTGTGCACTTGACACCTTATAATTTTGTTAATCAGTGTCACCCCAATAAATTCAATAGAAAGGATTTTTTAAATTAAAAAAGAGCAAAGAGCATTGTTGTAGATATAATTAGTTAGGATGAGGTCATGCTGGAGTAGAGTGAGCCCCAGTACCTGGTGTCCTTATAAAAAGGGGAGATTTGGACACAAACACACACACGCAGAATGCCAGGTAAACACCAAGGCACAGATCAGGGTGCTGTGTCTACAAGTTAAGAAATGCCAAAGATCCCAGCAAACTGCCAGAAGCTAAGTGAGAGGGCTGGGGCGGATTCTCTCTTAGCACCATCAGAGGGACCGAAGCCTTACTGATAACTGGATCTTGGACTTTTAATCTCCAGACTTGTGAGACATTAAATCTGTTGTTGAAGCCACTCAGTTTGTGGTACTTTATTATAGCCATCAGAGAAAACTAATGCATCCATGACTTTAACATTAGCTTTAAGCTTAATTTTTTTAGACTTCAAAATAAGGCATGTATTTAAGCTAAAGATGGTATGGTGAAGGTACTCTGACAAGTGCCAGGCATGAAGATATAAAATGTAGTGTTGTGACTGAGCGCCCTGACGATGCTCTGGTGAGGTCATTTATGCTGTTGTATGGCCCCACCCAGACTGGCAAGTTTCCTTGACAGCTCATTCCAATCTTCCTCAGGTAGACACTTGCAGAGTAAATCATTTACCAAATAGTGATTTTTGCATTGTTATCTTCGATGTGCTCCAAATTTTATATGGCTGCTGTCTAACTAGATCACAAGGTCACTGAGCGTCACACACGATCATTAAGTTTTCTGGGGATTATAAGCCTTATCTGGAAGGTGTATGGTATGTGTTGCAAAATGGTCACTGTATTAGGGTTCTCCAGAGACAGAACTAGTGAGATAAATCAGCAGAGATTTATTTTTAAAAGTTGGCTCATGTGATCGTGGAAGTTGGCAAGTCCAAAATCTGTGGGGGAAGCTCTTAGGCTCTTAAGGAGGTGGGTGAAGAGCCGATGCTGCAGTCCGAGTCCAAGGCAGTTTGCCCGCAGAATGGCGCCTCCTTCAGTCACTTTCTATTAAGGTCTTCAACTGCTTGGAGGTGGGTACTCTGCTTTATTCAAAGTCCTCAGATTTAAATATTCACCTCATCTAAAAAATACCTTCACAGAAACATCTAGAATAATGTTTGACCAATAACTGGGTACCATGACCTAGCCAAGATGACATATGAAATGAAACATCATAACCCCCAATGAATTCTGCCTCCTTAAATTCATCCATTTTTATAGCCCTCCCTACCCCGCTGAGCATTGAATCTGGACTGGCCTGGTGATTTTCTCTACCAGTAGAATGTAGCAAAAGTGGCACTTAGCAGGTTATGCCCCTGGACCTTACAGCTCACACTGTTGCTGTCTTGGAACCCCGGCCTCCATGTGAAGAAGGCAAGGCTATTCTCTTAGAAAAACTTCAAGGAGGAGGCAGCCCTGGAGGAGAAAAAAACAGGAGGTAGGCAGAGGTCCAGCCAAGCTGGCCTTTTTAGTCATCTCAGCTGAGATCCCAAACATGTGAGAACTGCCATCTCGGGTCCCTGATGCTCCAGTGGAACTTCAGATGACTTGGTTAAATGAGCATGTGATACAAAGTCACCCCTTCTGAGTCTTGTCCAAACCACCTGGTCTGGAGCAAACAAATGGGGTTGGGTTTGAAGATACTAAATTTTGAAGGAGTCTGTTGTGTTACAATAGATAATTGCTATTTGCACCAATGATTTCTATAAAATAATTTTTCTAAATAGAGAGATTTAGGATCCAGAATATTATCTTGTTATGGCATAAGTAATAATGTGAGTTTGTACAAGACATTGAACATATCAGATCTTGCTTCAGATAAGCTTATGATTTCATACTACTATTTTCAGAAGGACTAGTATGTACATGGGACTAGTGTTTCGTTACTATAAATTCTGGATTTGCCTTTCACCTAAATCAAGCTTTCTAGAAAGAAAATAAGAAAATCACATTATTTACTATCCTATACTTATTAACCTAACCATGTCAATCATTTCTCTCCTCTTTAAGTCTTGACCATGCCCTTTAAGTCTATTATGCCCACCAGCTCAAATTTGGGGATGTTAAAGGAAAGAAATAAAGAGCAAAAATGGAAAAAAAGAATATAAGGAACAAGTCAGAAGAGATAAAGAGAGGAATTGATGTTCTCTGGAGCAAGATGCAGAAGTAAATCTAAAACTAAAAGGAGAATTTGAGGGTTCCTTTTCATCTTCTGGGGCACAGAGAGGTTAATTCAGGGTCACATTAATCAGAGGTTAGCATCTTCCATGGGTACATATTTTTCTTTCATACGCAACAAACTTCCAGTGTTAAGTGAGTCACTTTTCACAGACAGATACTAATTTTCCCTCCAGGAGACGATCTGCCCCGAGAAGCTTTTGGAGCACCCGGCTCTGGGGAGCCAGAAGAACAAAGCGTGTAGAGCAGAGAAAAGCAAGAAGGCACAAAGAAGGTTCAGTCACTTAGTTAAGAAAAGTCTTTTCAATACCTTTCTTCCTGCATTTCATTGACCACCAGGTAGAAAAAGAGAGTGGTAGGGTTGTAGAGATATACAAACAGGTGAATTTATAGGTTTTCAATAATGAAGGAGTAGCAAATGTTACCGGGGGGGCTTTCCAGTGGAGAAACACACCAGCTCATTTCTAAGGTATAAGATGTGGGAAAGTTGAGATCGGCCTTTGTCATCAATGTCATGGGAGGTAAGGTAAGCAGGTGTTTGTGTGCTTAACTCTCTGTGGGGTCACAGTCCAGAGAACAGGGATATAAGGCACAACTCAAAGATATTGTGGGTTCCACTCCAGACAACTATATTAAAGCTGGTATTCCAAAAAAGCAAGTTGTAATCTTTTTGCTGGTAGAAAGTCTTACCTTTGTGAATTTAAAAAATGCCACATCTATGCAACTCAGTAAGTGCAATAAAACAATGTGCGCCTATAAAAGAGATTTCAGAACTTCTTGACATTTCTGGATATAAATGCACAAAAACTCTGGTTAAATAAATAAATAAGATAAATCAAAGAATAGTAGTTTCACAGATGACAAAAATATAGGCTTTACCATTCTTATCTGAATATCTGTCAATCTTTAAAGCCCTGAGATTTCCCATAAGCATTAACAAAGAAATGTCCTATTATGCAAAAAGCCATTTAATCTCTTGCTATTTGCTAGTTTATTGCAAATTCTATTTACTCCCTTTGGGAGAATTACCCTAAACAGTGGAGATGGGACTTCAGTGGGCATCAGGTTGGAGCACTAGTTAAAACCCAAATTGCTGGGCCACAGCCCTGGAATTTCAGATTCAGTAGACTTCCTATTTTATTTAATGGTTTATAATATGTCATAAGAATGATTAATTTTGATGCTCAAATTGTCACTGCATGCTGGATTCTGTGTCCACTTGAGTGTATCCATTATTCCTCGAATACATCTTTGCTTTCTGGCATAGATATTGAGAAGTCATCTTGGGCCCTGGCTGGTGTAGCTCAGTGGATTGAGTGCAGGCCTGCAAATCGATGAATCGAGGTTCAATTCCCAGTTAGGGCACATGCCTGGGTTGCAGGCCAGTTCCCTGCAGGCCAGTTCCCAGCAGGGGACGCACAAAAGGCAACCATACACTGATGTTTCTCTCCCTCTCTCCTGCCCTTCCCCTCTAAAGATAAATAAATAAAATCTTTTTTTAAAAAAGAAGTCATCTTGGATGTTCCCTGGAGCATCCAAGGATGACTTTTCCATGGAAAAAAAGCCATGTCCCTTTCCATGGAAAATTATTTTTAGAAATCAAGATCTGGGCTTCGGGTGTGCTCACTGCTAATAGACTGTTATTGCTTCCCGACCATATCAATGACCAGAGCTAGAGAATGTACGTGTTTAAGTTTGTGATATATGTTATAAACATGAAAATATATATGTTTGTGTATTAACGCACTTTTGCATTTATGTTTACTTCTATACTGTTTATATACAGGGAGGCAAAAGTAGGTTTACAGTTGTGTGAGTACATGAAACAGAGTTTATTCTAGTTTTATTATTTTTAATTATTTCATTATTTTCTATAC